TCTCGCGGCCCGGTACCAAACGACTCACGGACCGGTACCGGTCCGAGGCCTGGGGGTTGGGGACCGCTGCAGTTAAGGACATCCTAGACAGCTGATTCTCTTCATTTGGACAGAGTATTTTCAGTAGGAGAAATGTGTCGTCACTCATCCAAGTTTTTTCTTCAGTCTTTTTCTGTTTAATGATGATCTTCTTCGGTTGCACTTGAGATTATTTTTGGATTCATATTTAAAATTGCAATGAAAAGCTATAAAATAAAAATTAATCACATTGAATTGACTTCATGTCTGCTTTATTTCTGATGAAACAACAAGGGAGCACCTGGCCATGAACTGCTTGTGAGTCAATTGTCCCATTAATTTTTAACCTCTGAAATTGTAAAACCTCTCAAATTAAAGCTGAAAGTCTGCACGTCAATCGCATATTGATTGATTTACAATCCACAGTAGTGGTGTACACTAAAACTATAAAAAGAGCATCTTTTTCCAATAAATTATGGACTTCACTGACACAGTATGTAACATCATTATAAACAACAAAGACAACAACACACAGGTGGTGATGTGAACATTCAGAAGAGAAATCATGACAAAATTCTAAGAACTTGATCATGTGTTTTTATTAAATAAAGAATAAGTTACAATAATAAGACATAATGTAAAAATAACTCCATACAAGACAGGAAATCATACATCGGTGTGTCACAGCAACTTTGTGAGAAGTTGTTAAATAAATGTACATTGCGAGTTTTCACTGAGTGACAGGGCTGGGTGATACGTGTGTGCATGGGGGCCATCAGCTTAGTTTGGGGGTAAGACAGCAGCGCTTTACCTTATGATATATCAATTAAATTTACACATCACACATTCAGAAACACAGTAACTGTTAGTGGATGTGAAGTTGCAGGAATGAGTGAACCGACTGGCTGTAATCAAACAGGCAATATTAACACAAGCATGCACACAAACACAGGAACAATGGTTCATTAACACTGCTTCAGATTTCTGCTCGAAAACCTCTGACTGCACTAAAATCACGGACAACTACTACCATACTGTTGCACACACTTGATTTCAAAATCATACAAATACATATAATTGATTAAAAAGGCTGAATGGATTTAAAAAAAGATTGAGATATGTTAAAAGATTTGTAGTTTGTGTTCTAATGCAGACAGCCTGTGGCAGAATATCATATTTAGTTCCTGAAGAAAACCTGGCAAACCCCTTGGCAATGTTATAATATTATGAAAAGGGTGATATTATCAAAGTTTTTTGTAAACCCAATGTCTTTGCTGCTGACAGCAGAAGAGTAAACTTCATCAGAACTGGATGTGACATATTTGAGAAAAAAATCTCAGCAGTCAGAACATCTGGGGCAGATGGAGCTGCTCCGTTAAACTTCTTTAATGTGGCAGCATGCTGCCACCAAGTGGTGCACAGCAGGAATTGAATATTAATACAAATATATCAAAAATATTTCAATTCTCCTGCTCTCCTGTGTGCAAAAAAAGATGCGATGACCAAACCAGTGATGGGATTTCTTTCGGGTTTAATATAATATTTTATTGAATGGCTACTTGCCATGAATGGTAATGATAAAGAAAAAAACAACCAAAAATATTTAAACAAAACAACGTTTGCACTGATAGTAGTGGCTCTCAAAGACCAAAAACAAGTCATTCCAGCTGGGAAAGCTTGTATATGCAATTTGTTATAATTCCTGCATCTATTGCCTGTCAACTATTTAAACAGGAAACATCTAACAAAAATCAGTCTGAACCTTGATAAAATATGCATGGTGGAACTCCAAGAGCACAGCTCATTGCTGCAAGTGAACACAGATGCAGTTTCCTGTATGAGCACTGTGCTGAAACAAAACACGGTGAGCTGCATCTGCATGAACAGCTAAATTTGTGTTTGTTACCGTGAATCACTGAATCGGCAGCGAGCAGTCACTCACCATGTGGACTCCTTATAAACTGCATTTTACATGTGACTAATGCTGCAACTCTCAAAAGAAAGTTCATTATTTTCCTTCGTGGACTCGGTTATTAAAGAAGGCAGCACAGCTTGTAATGTTCGTTAAACCCTCTTGACAGTAAAGCCGCTGGGATTCTTCCTTTAAATGAACAGCTGCTGCTCAGAATTTAAAATCGGCAATTTCAACAGAGCCAGCCGCAGAGCCGGCTAATGCACCGTTGCTACACAGGAATTATGATTTTAATATTTAGAGCAAATCACTTTGTTTGTCTAAACTCGGCTGTCAGTTGCTACACAACACACAGGCTTAAAAATCAGCCTCCCGTACACGAGAGACACGAGCACTTTCCATGTACACTCTGAACAATGAGAAAAGGCGCTGGCAGTGGAAAAAACGTTACCGGCACTAAGTCTCTTTTACATTATGTCTTTCCTCCAAAGACTCACTAGGATGAATGGAAAATGGTAACAGAGGGGTTTGATATGCTTGGTGGGGAAGAATATGAAGAAAAGGATGGGTGGAGTTTGGGGATTAAATGACACCAATTCTTAACACATTAATTTTCTTTTCCACACATGCAGCAATGCTGTGGTGATAAGGATTATAGTATTTTGTAGATTCATCTATTGGACTCATTGTTTTCACTCTCTCTCTGACTACAGGTTGCTCTCCTGGGTATCAGCGGACGATATGGGGTGCAGACCTCCGTTCTCATTCAGTCTCTTGGCACGGTACGTTTCATAGTGAATGTTATGAGTGACTTCCTTCAGATCCTGCAGGTGAGACCTTCAAAAGATGAATGTAAATACAGAGAGTGGGCGAGTTATTAGTTAAGTACGTTCATTTGACAGAGGAAGGGATAAGAGTTACTGTGTTTTGAAATACAGTATTGTTGTTCTTGTGTTGTGGTAATAAAATGGTAAAATCCTCCACAACAGCAAACACAAGAAACAAACGTTTTCTCACAATCAAAGAAAATTGCATAGTCTTATATTCAAAAACCACTTTGAAAACATTTCACATTTATTATAATAAAAATGCTTTCATTTTTTTTTAGAGAGGAAATAACTTTAATCGCTTTATCAAATAGTTGATCAGGACCCATCTTCATAAAACTATAATTAATTAATGTAATTTAATTTAAATGTGAATATTTGCTCTTTCTGTGATGTTAAACTATCCCAGTTTATCAGAACAAAAATCCACCCTACAAATTTTAACTGTTTTTCTGACGTTTCAGAGACCAAATGGTCACTTAAATAAAATTTATAGTCACTGGCCACGTTGTTAGGTACACCTGCTCAACTGCTTGTTAACACAAATATCTAATTAGCTAATCACATGGCAGCAACTCAATGCATCCAGGCACGTAGAAGTTCAAATTGAGGATCAGAAATCATAACTAGAGTTTACAGAGAGTAGTCTGAAAGCAAGAAAATATCCAGTGAGTGGAAATTCTCTTAGAGAAAAAGGTTTGTTGATGTCAGAGAACAGAGGAGAGTGGCCAGACTGCTTCAAGCTGGTAGGAATGCAACATTAACTCAATTAAATAATTGTTACAACCCAGGTATGCAGAAGAGCATCCCTTAATGCACAGCACACTGAATCTTGAGCAGATGGGGTACAGCAGCAGAAGAGCACTCTAGGTGTCACTTCAGCAATGCTAGAAACAGGAAACTGATGCTGCAGTTTGCAGGGGCTTACAAAACAATGGAAAATTAAAAAATGTCATCTGGTCTGAAGAGGACTGATTTCTGCTGTGACATTCAGATGCTAGAGTCAGAATTTTGGCCTTAACATCCTGAAAGCATGGATACTCTGCCTTGTATCATCAGTTCAGTCAGACGGTGTTGGGCAACCCAATACTAGCACTGTGTACCTAATAAAGTGACCAGTTACTGGCGATCAATACATTTGTGTTACTGTTAAAATGCTGAGAAAGTTTACTAATAGAGAAAAGTGATTTTTTTCTTTGTTTTATTTCATTTCTTTATTCCACTTTTTTTTGCATTATTATTTAAAAAATGCTTTAAAAGAAAGTTTTACCTGATCAGAAAATCTCTCAGCTGAGCAAACTCACAATGGTTTGGATTTTCAACTGCACAAAGCAGAAAAACAGAGACAGAAATCCATCAACATCAGTCCTGTGTAAAAAACCAAACAGAGAAACTCGTTCATGGAGAGCGTTTGACTCACCCTCCACAATTCCCCACGCTGTCTTCCTCCCCAGAACCGGTTTGCCGTTCACTTGATATTCTTTGTCACTCCCCACCACAGCAAAGGGCATCGCCTCCTGTGAACAGAGACATTTGAACATGGTTCAGTGTACCGAAGAGAGCTACGCGAGGTTTATGAGATGAAACAAATGCACCACATGCCCAAGTGCCCTGGCATTCTGCTTAGAGGACTCGCTGCATGTTTGTGAAAGAGGCTGGGTTAAAGCTGAGTATCAAAGATTCATTCTAATGCCAAGGAAGAAAATCGCTCCACAAATATCGCGTGAGACAAAAAAGCGACTTACTCTGATTTTATCGTTGTCACTCTTGTCTTCCATGTCATCATCAAACTCTTTTTGTGGGTAAAATTCAATCCCGCTCATCTCCAGCTCCTTCCTTACCTGGAGTGCAGACAAAAGCAAGGAAAAATGAATAAAAAAAAAAACATTAGTCACAACGGTACCCAACACTGCACAAAGGACCAAAAGTCTTTTTTAATTAATTCATTCAGTTTTTCTCTACTGGGAAACAACCAGGACAGGTTTTTACCAGCCCCTTGTGTATTTTTACTGGCCTACAACCAGGAAAATGATTTCATACATTGCTAGCTTAATTTATAAACCTACCATAGATTAATAATCTATTAGTAGATTTATATTTAATATTATAAATCTATGTCAGAAATGTAATTAGTAACTGAAACTTTAAAATAAATGTAGTGGAGTAAACACCGAATCCTGGGGTGGATGACTACTATCAGCAAAGCATACAAGAAATCTGGGAAATTGAATTGAATTGAATTTCTTAGCAAATTAAACTAATAGTTTATCTGCACACAGATGTTCTTTTAACTCCTTCTTAATTCTGTTGCGTTGGATGGACAGGAACAGGTAAAAATACTGCATTTCTTCACATTTAAAACTATCTGAACAATCGGTTTGATGATTGATGATTGTTGGTATTTTCAGGTGTATGACTTGACAGGTAAATCACTGTCTCTGGGCCAAATTGCTAGTGGCTGGCAAACAGTTCGCCCAACATACTGTGTTTACTGGCCTTGGGATCATTGAATAAGACTTAAAAATTAGTCCCTGAGAACATGAAGTAATCAGAAAAAAGTTCACTGAAGGTCACTGAGGTTCTGGATGAGAAGTCAAATCACTGAGAAAACTTTTTAGCTGTAGAGTTTAGTAACTTGGATCCACTGCTAGTATAAAATGTTTATTACAGCAGCTTTGCACACTCATCAGTAAATATCTATGAAGAAAGACATTTTGAAGTCAGATTATTGGTGAAACTCACCCTCTGCTTGAACTCCTGTCTCTCCTCAATGGTCAGTGTATCTGCTTTGGCAATGACGGGAATAATGTTGACCGAGTGACTCAGGCGCTTCATGAACTCAGTATCTAGCTGTCGAAGACTGAAGCAGAAGGACAAATAATTACAGTGAGTCATGAGGGCAGATATAGGAGATGTGGAAGCTCATAAACACTGAATAAAAGAAGGAGGCGTCTGGAATTCATTTGTCATTTCTCATACGTCTCATTACCTTTCCTTGGCCTTGCAGCGATTACAAAAGACTTACAGTGAGAATCTTTTTTTTTCAAGTGGGCTTATCATTGAACAAAGGTTGTGTCCCAGCTCTTGTTTGCTTGCACATAAGACATCCTGTCGGTCTCAATTACCCTGGCTAAGAAAGATGAGATACGCTGGCAGTAATACACAAAAGACTGTATCCACTTATTCATTAGAAAGCAATTTCACACTTGTCAGCAGGAGCTAATTGTGAAAAGGAGAGAGAGGTGTGTGCTGTCTGCAATATAAAGTAGCACACTCAATTTAAGGCTTTGATAATGTGAAATTAAATGTTTTTTGAATAAAGAGACATTAACACTGTGAGCTTTGTGCGTGTGTGTCTCACCAGCATACAGTGTGTGAATGTGTGTGTGAATGGGTGAATGTGTAAAGCACTTTGGGGTCCTTAAGGACCAAGTAAAGCGCTATACAAATACAGGCCATTTACCATTTACAGATTACTTAAAAACCCCCACATCCCTTAAAGAATCAGATACTTAAAGATGGTCTGATTGATTTACTTCCATACAGCCAAAGCTTAACTTACGAGTGTCCGGTTGGGGAGATAAAATAGAGACAGCAGTGCACCCTGGTGTCCGGGATTCGCTTCTTTCTGGTGATGTTGACCTCCTCCTTCAGGAACTTCTCATACTGCTCATTGATGTATTTGGAGATGGGCTCCCAGCTGTGGATACAACAGAAGCAAAACATCACCGAGGCAGGAAAAAACATGTTTGAGGGAGCACTGATTCACTCCTAAACCTTGAATACAGTTTTTAAAGATGAAAGGTGGAGATTTGTCCTCGGTGATATAAGGCAGTTATTATGACATTTATGATGCTTTAACAGTGCCGGAGCTGGAAATCTCACCAGTTGTCGTTATTGATTTGGTCTCCGAAGCCCGGAGTGTCGACAACTGTCAGCTTCATCTTCACACCACCCTCTTCAATAACTAAAAAAAACCAAAAAAAAAAACATGTTCACACAAAGAAATCAGCAAAATAAATAATAACAGCTTCAAGTCTTCTGGGAAGGTTTTGCAGAAGGTATAGGCCTGTGTTTATGGGAATATGTAACCATTCTTCCAGAAGCACATTTGTGAGGCAGTGCACTTGACATGCAAATCTTTCTCTTCTTTTTTGAACAATGGCCATAGATACAAGTGATACAGTGAGAGATAAACATCATATTTAGAAGTTATTTTAAAACTTAATTATATAATAAACAAATTATTTGGAAAAATAAGGTACATGATTTTCACCTTGAAATTTTCCAGATTATGTACCAAGTAGTGGAATCCTAAATCATCCTAAATCCTCAGAGATTTAGGATGTTCTACTATAAAAATAAAAAATCTACAAGTGGCTACAAGAAATTCGTTTGTCCAGGATCAATCAATCTATCGCCTGAAGCCAGAGTCAAAACCGACCCAAAAACTCCACATACAGAGGCCCAAGCCAATCAGTGAGATGATTTCACTAACCACTATGCTGCCCATAATTTAAAATCTCACAGAGCTGCAAAATTTCATCACAGGATTTGCAGGTAAGGTAGTGCATGCACCTCCATGAAATGCCTGCCAGGAAATAGCTTCTGCTTTTCAAAGAGAGCATCAGAGAAAACGGACTGTTAACCAGTGGCAATAAAGGCAAAGACCAGCTCTTTTAGATAAACAAGACAGTGGCGAAAGCAGTTTAGGAGATGTCCGGGGTCTGGGCAGCGTCTGCATCATTTCAAAGTGTTCTTCAGGATGTGACGCAGTCTGTGCAACTACCAATTCCTGCACAGCCAACATCCTCTAACATCCAATAACTGAAGGAATTTCACATAGAAAGTCGCAGAAAGCAATTACACACCTACAAGAAGTTATTTATGCTGAAGGGGGCAAAGGTAGTGTCTAAACCAAGGATGTACTTACCTTTACCACAGAAGAAGAACACATTTAATGTTTTTATTTAAAAATAAATAAAAACTTGAATATTCAACATAATGACTGAATGTTCGTGTTTGCCATAATCACACAAACAGCAAATACAATATTAATAGCATGGCCAGAATTTTTTATGCTTCGTCTCCTGGCATAATAATATCAGGGTACTGTCATCCGCAGGCAATGGGAGCATGATCACGTAAACTGTAGCAGCCCACAGGCTTGACATGTCCCTACAGTTTCCTCGGGAGCTCATAAGTCGTCAAGGACGTGCAAATGGCAGCTAGGTCCCAGAAGGCATAATGAGCACAGGCTTGAATGCTACATAGTGAGCTGTCTGCCACAGTGAGGATTTGATACTAATAGTGGGGGAGGGGCACCAAAATACGACATTTTCAAATGTTATACAGAGTAGCTGTAAATAGCGATTCGTTTGGGCTGCACTGTGGATAATTTAAAACTTTATTCAAATCAAGCACACGGCTGACTGTCACTGCTTGCCCCTGTTACCTGAGTGGAAAGCTTCTCAGTTACACAGATGTTCTACAAGAACAGCTTTCTGATTCCTCATCCTGTAACTTTGAAAGTGAGCCACAAATTGAGCTATGTTTACATCTTTGCATAAGCTGTCAGGCTGATCTACGGTTGTTACCATGGAGACATAACTCTGAGCTCTGAGGTTATCTCGCATTTTACTCACAAATACTTTGGGCTTTAAATTGGGTCATGGTTGGTCCTAGCTTTGATCAGGCTCCACAAACTGAGTTCAGCGATGTGGTGCTTTGTGACTCCTGTGAAATATGACCGACTGCCCGCACTCTCAGAAACTTCACTGAGGTTAAGTAAGACCCTTTTAAACCCCCAGTCAGTCAAACACAAGTGAAATGAAAGCACACGCAGCACGCCAGCAGATCTTAAAATGATAGTGAGCAACACCCTGCAATATGTTGGCCCTGTGAGGTCAAATGCACTGGAGCTTAAAAAAACACTGCTATCACTCATCTGCCTGCTATCCTGGGCGTTCAGCTGCTATGATCTATACTTTTCAACACATCCACTTTTCCAATGCTGTCAAAGTCAATACTGATATCATTGCTCTTTCCCAATCATCTTCTTGCTTGCCTTCAGCGAACCAATAAGCCTGCATTCTGCATACTTTAAATCTCGGCAACCCACTTCCTCACCATTTCAGAGCTCCATCCAAGCCTTCATCTTCATCCTCACCACCACCAGTGTCTGGACTCTGGATGCTGGCATTCTGCTGCTATGATGGGTCTAATTGCCAAATATTATAACTGATTCTGTATCTCAAAAAAATCATGTTTAATTCTTCCAAAGGATTTCTTCTTAATTAATCTGTGTATTGGAGAAACAATTACAGACAGAAAGACAGAATAAACTATAAGCAGCAGCAGACCAAACAAATCTGCCATACAATCTAAATGTTGGATAAGAAAATAACACAAAAAAGTTTTAATACAAAATTGAAGCTCCTTTTTAATCTGTCAAACTCCAAACAGTCCATCATAAACGAGATGTAAAAAAAGTGTAGAAATATCAGAAGCCTGTTTTACTTGATGTTGTGTTATAAAACATGATGACCCAGCCTTAAAAGGTAAGCTCACAACTTCCCAAGTCTATCCTAAAACACTATAGCTATTTTGTTTTGCTGAAGTTATTCCACCACTATCACTGTACTTTCAAAGTAAACAGGGCGGCAGCAGAAATCTGCAGTCTTTAGTAGCAAAATAGCAAAATATTCAAAGGATTATGAAACTCCAGCAGCCTGAGATTGACAAATCCAATGGATATCCACAAGGCAAAGTATTTTCTTTTTTGCAACAGAACACAAAATATCCAAACAAACAGTTTTAGTTTTCTTTTTTTTTAAGTTGGCTTGAACATCAAAGTCAACCACAAACAGGAGAGGAAGCATAAAATAACAATAAAGATAAAACAGTTTGTTTTGTATATTCTTACTATTGTCTTTGTTGCAGAGGCTAAGCTAAAGGACAAACAAGCACAAACAGCAGTGACCACATTAGAGGTTCTTCCACATGCTTTTAACACTGCCTCCTGGTGACAGCATGCAGCAACAACATGTAGACATGTGTGCAAATCTCTGCATTGAACATCGACTACTCAAATACCATGCCAGGATCATTCAGCACCACCTGACCTCTACACCTCTGCTGCCAATCAGCTACTATCAGATCTTTAGCCTTGGTTTTCCATCATATTTCTTGCTACATGTTCCTGTCAGCTTGTTTTTTAAATGTTATTATTATCTATTTATTTATTTTTGGATATTGTACCTTTATAATAATAATGCATACTTTATTAATACCGTAGGGGATTGCTTAGTCCTCTGCACTTAACCCATTCATTCAGTGAAGCAGTACGCAACTACCAATCCAGCGCCCAGGGAGCAGTGTGTAGAGACCCTTGCTCAATAGTACCTCAGGGTAGCCGTTCAGTGGATTTGAACACCCAAGCTTCCGATCATGGGGCGAATACTCTACCTACTGAGCAATCCCTGCCCTTGATTTTGTGCCTGTCTTTAATGAAAAACGTTTCTACATTGTAAATATTGCCTGGAAACCCACAGTGTGCCCAACTGTGCACTGGCACATGACAGCAGAAAACTGAGCAGAGATCTGTTTGCTGTTTTTCAGCCATCTCTGAACTGAATTTCAGCATCTGTTCATTTTTAGAGATTTCACCAACAGACAGCGATGAAAACCTAACCTTCTTTCGACTTTGTCTGTACAGCTACAAAACGCAAATAAGGTAGGTCTCAGCATTGATTTATTTATATGACACATATTTATATGCTCTGAGAGTTATTACAGAGCAGCTTGAAAAATTAATTCATGACAATTAAATTCCCAGCACACGGACAGTCGAAAACAACAAGTGATCAAAAGTGCCTGCAGGAGAGGCAGAAGTTGGCCCATCCTTCAGCTGCTTAGATTTCTTGGCAGCTTCCAGGGTGCACTGATGAACTATAAGTAGGCTATGTGGGACTTTTAAGAACATGGCCAAAGATTGTTCATTTTCTCTCTTTAATTAAGTGCTATATAAATGCCTGGCTCTAAAGAAAGAGCAGCCTCTCTGTCCTTGCACTCACCGTGAGACACTGCCTTGATCTCCACAGTTTTGGGGATCTTCTCATCACGAGCCCATCCTGCACTCCTCCTGCTCACTTGGGACTTGAATAAGGTGTTCACCAGGGTTGACTTTCCCAGACCACTGTGACCTGAAGTGAAAGGCAGAAGAATTAAGGTTGGAGCACCATACAGGCAGAAAGTGTCCAGGCATAAAGCAAGTCTACTGTGACGTACCTACTACCATGATATTGAAGTCAAAACCAGTCTTCATGGTCTTCTTCCTCATCTGCTCAATGATGGTGTCGATACCAATGTATCCCAGCAGAGTGGATCCCCCGCTGGAGCTGTGGGAGCCACCATGACCATGACCGCCGCTGTGTGGTGCAGCGTGACTTCCAGCGTGACTAACGCTGTGTCCTATGCCATGACCCACGCTGTGACTGCCACCATGACTTCCAATGGGAACTGGAATGGCGCTCGGTGGGGGAGCAGAGATGCCGCCTCCTCCGACACCCAGGCCCTGGGGTGGGAAGGGGCTAGAAGGAGAAGGAGCCCCCACGTTTGGGGGTTTGGCAGGGACAGCTGGTTTGGGTCTAACCTCTGGAGGAACGATGTCTGACATGTCTACAGAAAAGGAAGGAAGATGAAAATAAGTCACACTGAAAAAATGACGAGGAAGTAGGTCAGTGGATCAGCCGAGGCCTCTCCTCTAGTTACTCGTTCTACATTGAAGAAATGGGTTATTGCAGCAGGCTTCGATCACCCAAACAACAGAAAAATCCTCACATTCATCTAGTCAGGCAAACACTGCTTTGTATAATTGGTGTAGTTGTATAATTTGCTTCCCAGATTTTGATGGTTATGATGAAAGGTGCTTGTAAAACAAACGTTTTATCTGTTTATTTTAAAAATATGAAGCTGGAGCTATACAAACATTATGAGGTGAGCAAAATCAGATGTTTACAATAAAGTTTTCCTTGAAGAGCGCCTACTGTGCTCATGGCCAACTCCATGCTGTTATTCTTAGACTCTACTAGAGTAGCTTTGCATGATTCACAGTTCAGAATAATGTTTCTTTACTTTAAAGTGAGTCTCAATTACCTCTTATTTCATCCACTGTATGAAATACTATTTTAGCCCTATTCTCTCCCATAAAGTCTTCTTCTCATTGGCTGCCCCTTGTAAACAAAAGGGATTTCTGTTCTCATGTCTGAGATGAGCATATTAGGAACATCTTCTGTTTTTGACATTATACCGAGGCATTGAAAAAGGACTGAAAAGGAGAATACGTTATGATCACAGTTTATGAACTCCTCCCCTTCCTCCTTCCTAAAAAAAATCTGGTACTGACTGGAGCTGTGGTACTCAAGGCTAGCAGACACATGGAGTTTACGTATGAAAAATTTAATTAATGCATAACTGTCACTTTCAAATTTCATAACCATGTGAACTGTATTAATGAATGAATGAATGAACTAGCTGATTAAAATAAAAGTTAAGAGAAGTTGAAGAGACTTAAATGTGGCTAACATTTTTTTTTCTTTGTCAGTTATGTAATAAAGTAAATATCTTTGAGTTTTCAATTAAACAAATCAAGACATCTGAAGGTCCCAACATGGACACAGATGTACATTTCAGGAGGGATCCAGTCCACTGCCTCATCCGACCCCAAACCCCACACAACAAAAGCACAAAAGAAAGCTGATGACTGAGAAGAAAAACTGCTATAACATCATTTGTTTCTTTTTTACCAACAGATAGATGTTATGTCTGCGCTCATATTTCACACACATCCATATACAAAAAGAAAAGCTGAAAAATATGACAGAGATGGAAGGAAAAGGGAGAGGGAGGTCCAAGTCTGAAAGCAAAATAGCTCTGAGACACAGTATTTGAGTTTAGCAGCATAGTTTCTAGTTTAAAAATAAGATTCATCTTCGGATTAATGCTGCCTGTGCTTTTTGAGTTTGCTTCAAAGGTTGAGATAAACCTTATTCCTAAAAGTGTGCAGAATGTTTTGAACATAAGCAGAAATCTTGATGAAACACAGATCAGCTGTTAAAGTCCAGGGGTTAATAAATCAATTTATAAAAAGATGACTCATGCACAGTTTGAGCTTGAACATAACATATGAGACAGAACTGAATCAACTCGTTATGCTCACATCTAACCACAAGAGTCCACACGACCTTAAGCATTTAACTCAGCAGGTAGGAAATCAAATGAGAATAGCTGAGAATAATGACTGGAGAGTTAAGCTGTTATTATTTTATTAAGTTATCACATATTACACAGACAGTGTAAACAGTAAAATCCACTATCAGTGTACAGAAGTGCCTGACAAAACCTGAAATTAGGGCACTGTGAATAATTCCTGGAAATCTAGCATTTATAATCGGGGAAGTTCTTGCACTAATGAGTAACAACTACCCCGAAAGACTGCAGAGGTGGGGCAGCATCTGACCTGACCTGAGTTACAAAAGCGCTGCTCTAACCTCCAGCCTTCATCACACCCAGGTTGACCATCTATTATTTCTATCTGCTCAACACAGCAGAGTATGTCTCAGCCCTGATCACCCCCCAAGTGTAGAAATCAATGCCTGACTGAACAAACTCAGGTCTTCTTAATAAAGGTGTCCTCCAGTCAAAACAATGAAAAATCATTTACATTTCATTTTAACCCCCAAAACTGAACTAACTGTTCTTTTCTTTCACCTTTTCAATGCTTATACAGTGGAATTACAAATACCTGTGAGAGCAACTCTGATGTTGATTCGAAGATTATTTTCTTTTTTAAAATAAAAGAAATTATTATATTTTACAGTGTGATACTTAATAAATAGTTGATATTATAGGTGCAAAGATAATAGCCAGCATTCTTAATATTACGTTTTTTTTTTCCAATAAAACTACCAAATTTACAGCAATTCAGAACGCCTAAAAGTGTAGAAATCTAACATAAAACAGAAACATATATAGAAATGTCCCTGTCTAAAAAGGCTTTATTTATTAGTTAGCCTAGCAAACTTGCATTTAACCAAAAATCCATCCAACAATGGACACACTTTGCTTGACAAATATACTCCCTAATTCAGAGGAAGCTAAAGGCTCAGTCAAGAGTAAAAATAGGACGACAACCTCCTTGTATAAATTCCCAAAGCTTGAGCCTGTTGTACATTCACAACTACTTTTGATCTCAAGGTAAATGCACAGGTTGTCTAATACGAGGCAAACTTTCTGCAAACAGTCACAGTCTGACTTGAACTGACTGCAGTCACTCTTAAAGAGATTGTCAAAGGTTTGCTGTCTAATTGATAAATGCAGATACATTGCCAACATGTTATTATCGGTCTGAATGAGTTGATGTCAATTTGCACAACTCAAGGGGACTCGACTTAGCTGGCTGTCAGTCAGTTCTGGTTATTCCTATAGACCTGGAAGGTTGTTGAGCTTAAATGTAATAGTTAAATGTGAATTCCTGCTGATTTAGACAACAGTTAAATGATGTATTATTGCAGATCGCAGATGTAACTGCCAACTTCACTCCATTCAATCCCAGACTGATCCCAAACTGATAGCAGACTGACTCTATCTGATATTGACAAAGTTTAACTTTGAGGGCATGATTGGCAATTTTTGTTATTGCAATGCTCAGCATAGATGTTAAAAATCGCAATGATACTGTATCGTGAGTTGAGTATTGTAATTAAATCGTCTGGTGAGTCCCACCTCAAGTTTTAATCATTAAAAACGAATGAAAACAAAACTAAAATTTGCACTTTGGAAAAAAGCAAAACAGGAAACTAATTGGAAAAAACAGATATAATAATTCTGGCAGAGAACCACGGATGAAATTACAATCAGCTGTCTTGTCTTTGGGTTGGCAGCAGAAACGTCAAACATGGGACACAAAAATCTCAAAAGCCTGGCCAGAAATGCAAAAAAAAAACCTCTGCGAGCAAGGCTTTGACACCAGTCGGGTCTAAGCAAGAAAAGATGTTTTTGTGAGCTCAGCCTTTAAGTGAAGCAAGCAGTGCAGGCAGATGGTAACAGTAACAGGCAGCAGGCCGAGCCAAGATGTTGATGAGCTTAGTCCTTCAGGGTGTACAGCCTGCTGCCATGCTTTAAGTCACAGTCCTAGATACATGAGTCCTGATCATACATACAGGTCACTGAGGCAGAGGCTGTCACTTTGATTCATTCACTGGCCATGCAGCTCTGCCCCCTCCCTGCCTGCCCTCACAAGCCCACACTGCAATGCAATTATTTCGAGCTACACACTACAGCAAATGTAGGAAACTGAAGCGTACGATATCTGAGGATGCTCTGGCTACATGAAGGCTAAAACTCCCTTTTTTAAAATCCCTGTTTGAAAAAATAATAAAATGGCCAAGCTCATGAAAGTTAAGAGCAAACGTGCTTTAGCATATAACATGAATAAAAGCGCCCTTTTCTGCGTGTTTTAAGTGACTACCCAACGTTAGCTCTACCAAAGCCTGTCGCCCTCATTGTTTCTCTCACCAGTCACGCTGGATAATAACGTTAACGGCTAGCTGCTAGCGTGCACCCGCTAACGGTCGTCACACTCACCAGCTCCCGTTCAACTGACCAAACGAGCTCGTGGAGACAGCGGGCGACCTACAGGCGCTCTGAATTCGAGAAGCAGTAATATCTATCCACCACACTGATAACAATAACAAGAACGCTCATGTAAAGAGGAGTCCGGGTACCTCTCCTTCCCTCTGGCCGTGAGCCCCCTCCTTTTCCGTTACCAAGGCGACAAGAGGACAGGGAGTGGGGAGATGCAGCGCACATGCGCAATATGACTTTATCTCAAAGGGACATTTTTTTTTTTGGGTACAGTGTCTTCTGTCAGAGCTAGAGTATTTATAGCGAGCAATTTGAATTGTGTTATAATCAGTGTCAAGTCCAGACATGGGAGATGATCTTTAACAGTGTTGGTGGATAAAGAAGATGGATCCTTTACTAATAATGTTGTGAAAAAGTACTTGCCCAATTCCTGATTTATTTTCTCTCTCTCTCTTTTTTTTCCATATGTGAAACATTTGTCACACTTGCCTCTTAAATCGTGAATTATCTGTTTTTAATTCTGTGGCCTGATTACTGCCAGACCTGCTGAATTGAGAAATCACTTAAACAGAACCTGCCTGACAAAGTGATGTAGGCTAAAAGATCTCAAAAAGAAACACGCAATGCGACAGTCTACAGAAACAGATTTGAAACAAAGTCATTGACATCTATCGGTCTGGAAATGGTTACAGAGCCATTTCTAGGGCTTTGGGATTCCAGCAAATGATGGTGAGAGCCATTATCCACAAAAGGAGAAAACTTGGAACCTTCCCAGGAGTAACTGACCAACCAAAATTACTCCAAGAGTGCATTGGTGACTCAATTGGTGACCTAAACTGAGACAGTTTAGGTCAGTGTTCGCGCTTCAACAATAAGGGACTGGGGAAATATATGTATCCATGGGAGAGTTCCAAGGAGAAAAAGGTCGCACAGGCTCGTTTGACATTTGTTAAAAAACAAACAAACACCCAAACATCTTGATGATCCCCAAGACTTTTGGCAAAATATTCTGTGGACTGTGGACTTTTGGAAGGTCTGAGTTCCAACAACATGCCAACAGTCAAACATGGTGGTGATAGTGTGATGTTCTGGGGCTGCGTTGCTGCTTCACGACCTGGACAACTTGCAGTAATTAATGCAACCATGAATTCTGCTCTCTGTTTTTCTATATAGTCTTTACAATACTCATTTTTGGGTCACTTTAGGAAAAGCCATCAAATTTCAAGCTAAAAGAATGATATTGGATTTTTTTGATTTTTTTTGCTGCGGTCACTATCAAAATGAGTCAAATTTGACCCTAAACAGTGTGTACGGGTTAATGTAGATGCAAAGCTTAACAAAAACATTACTGCTATGTGGGACATTATTACTGCTGCATTATCGTTCAAGCAGAAAGAGCTTATAGCTTTAATGGCTTTGCACTGGTACATAAACAGGCTCCTAAAGTTTGAAGTCTTATCTGCAAAGTAACAACTGCATGTCTGCTAAATGCACTGTTTAAAATGTAGAAAGAAGTGCAGTATAGAGAAGTTTTCCCCCAAATACATTTTGTCACAGCAGGAAAACTACAGTGCTGAATAATTAAACTAATGATGGCTGAATACGTAGACGTTGTCTGTATGTGCCGCGCTTCCTTTTCTGTGAAGAGACACACTATCAGCTGTGACATGCCGTGAACTAAAGCACTTCAAATTTAATGCAAATGTGCTCTGATGTATCCTGCCACCGGTGGAAGCTCAGTGTGTAATGATTAACAGCGAGTGTAACGGGGCTTTCTGAGCGGTGGAATCCCACGAGAGACCCTGAATCTGAGGGTCTTGTAAGACAGAAAATATATTAACAGATCTAACTGCAAGAAATCTACTAATGAAGACTCCAGATGAAGCTGTTAGTTTAAATTTTCTTTGCTCTGTCAAATACGCCTGGTAGTTTTTCCCTTGTTGGGCCTCAGAAGCTCTCATTTTAACTCATAGGCATACAACATCCAGGCAGTGCTGAGGTACTATGTGTGCTTTGTTTTTTAATCTCTACCCTGCTATGTTACGACATGATTTAAGTTTGACACATCTGTTAGTCTGTACTTCCCAGTGTTTGTGTGATATTGTGTTGTTATTACTCTTTAGGTGTTAGAGAAAGAAAAATACAGCTGCAGCACCGTACTCACACTTTATCTCCGAGCTGCTCTCCTTTCGTCCCGCCTTCCTTTCTGCATGTTTTCGGCGTGTTTTAGTGTAAAACTGCTTTGGCACGTCTTCCTGTGCTATTCACTTTGAAACAGTCTGCTAACCAACTTTGTCACATCTCTCCTCGCCACGTCTGTTACTCTACTGATAAGAAGCGCTGCCTTTAGTCCCTCTGCTATCCTCTTTAACCACCCCCTCATCAGAGTTCCCACCCCCCCTAGAAGTTAGAAAATTATTCAACTCCCACTCCAAATAAAAGCAGGGGCATCAAAGAGGCGCTGTCGCTGGGTTTGTTCTGTTAAAATCTTGCAGGTGACTTGGATATATTTGTACTCACCCACATAAATTGAGCCTGGGTAATACATCGTGACGTAATAGGGGTCTTCTGATTCCTCTGAGAAAAATACTTTGCCTGTTTCAGAGTCATTCAGCTGATTTAGTAGACTGGAAGCTGTTGTTGCTGTTGTTGTCTTTTCCAGGCTCTGGTATACTCTGTCAAAGACCCCCTTTGAGCTTAGGCCAAAACTGTCTGTGCCGAATGGGCAGTGCGCTACAGACGGGGGCCAGCTTGCAACATATTTCTCTGAGGGATGTTCTGGTAGCTTTGTTGGCACCCCACAGAGGTCAGGTGGTGCTAACATGTCTGTTTGATTCAGTCCTGTGCTGCTGACCTTCATCTGTTTGTCAGGAGGAGACTGTTCCTGATCTAAGCCACATCTGTGTGACTGAAGGTCAGGTTTCAAAAAGGATCCCCTTTGTGAGGTGGTGCACACACCAGAGGGAGGGTGGGAGGCCTCCTGGGTCTGAGGTGCCACCTGACATGTCTTAAGCTGATTTAACCTGTGTGTGCACTGGGAAGCCTCCATTTTCTGATCAGCTTCTCTTGACTGGCAGCTGTAATCCTTTGATAAACAGTGAGACTGACTCACTGCACACCTTACATCCACAGTTTGACTCTGTGCCTTCGACGGGAACCTGAGGGGTCTCTGTGGGGACTTGATGTTTTGAGATGCACCAGTTTCATGAAAGATTTTATGAGAGTTTCCTGTAATTGTCTGATTATTGTTTTCTTCCTGCTGTTTCCTGGGACGAGAAGCTGATAGAAATGCTGCTTCTGGTCTTGTTTCACTGTGCAGGTCGAACCGTCTCCTCCTTGCCTCAATGGTTGGCGAAACGCCTGACTGATTAAAAAGAGGCTCAGTGGAAAAGGATGTTTGAGAAGTCACGGGTAAAGCTGCTTTTTTCTCAGAATACAGTTGCTCATATGGTGGGTGAGCTGAGGTAAAATGTAAGGTCTGAGAGTAATTGCTCTTCTGAGGGTAGTTTTTATATTTTCTTTGAGGACCTGACAGAGTGGCCGGTCCATCAAACACTGACGGAGACTCCTGGTGATCAACGTTAGCAGACTTAATGCCTTTAGAGTTAGTGGATATTTGTGTACCTGTCATTCTACTGGGTTGAAATTCCTGGTGCTGATTGATGTTCCACTTTGGTTTAGGTAATGCAGTAATGTCTGTACTCCTTTGCAGAGCCTTTGCTTCATCTTTGGCAGTATTTTCTTTTTTACTTAGTCCAAGTTTGCTTTGCAGAAAGCAAGGATTCGAAGATGTGACCGGGCGTCTGTAGGATTCTGAGTAAGTCTGATGTTGAGACTCTCTGTTGATACGACCTTTTCTCATCTCGGGGTGAGTAAAGTCCAGTAAAGCATCCTGGTCAAGAATTTCATGCTTTATCTCATTTGATGTCTCCGCTTTGACATTACAGATGGGAATCGATTTAGCACGTCTTTCTTTTGCAATAGGAGAAGGCTGTTTTACTGGTGGACCGTCTGAGCTCCTCCCCTGGCAAAGGGACGTTGGAGATGGGCTTAGTCTGGGTGTTGGGACTGTCAGAGTTGGAGATACACTTGGCTTTGGTGCTGGCTGG